AGATTTTTAAAGATTTTTCTTACGTATTCCTATGTAAAAAATTGATCGCCCATTGTGGCCCCACCCTACACCCGGGGGTCATGATTTGAACAAATTTGAATCTACACTACCTAACAATGATTTCATATAAGTTTCATGTTTTCAAGCACTGTTGTTCTCGAGAAGAAGATTTTTAAATGATGCCATTAATTTTTCACGAAATCATTTTTCGAAGTTCGCTGCTACATTGCTATACACTAATCCCCCACCCCACCCCGCCCCTTCCAGTATCAATATTTTGTACATGTTTTGTTCGTTTTGATGTTGTTGCTTTATTTGAGTCTTTTTCTTTTGTAGAATGATATGGATAAGAGGTCGAACTAAAGACTGTTTTGTATACTGTATTCACTTCATTACATCCTGTTGCACTCGCGCATGCGAGCTCATCCTATAGTGTTTTGAGTTTTATTTTATAAATAATTTATGTTCCGTTGAACTGGAGAATTAGAACATAATTTCTTTGAATAAAACAAATTGTTTGGGCTGGTTCCAAGTTCCATATATACGTATATAATACGTTATATGTACACCAAAGATTTCCACTCTTCAAGAATACTTTGTTTCTTACATGTCATATTCCCGTTTCTGAACTTCAATCGATTCCTCAGTCACATGAATAAATGTAGCATTCATTCCCTAAATATCAGCATTTGTACCTCCTCTGTGAATAAAAAAGCTTCCTACCAAACACGTTGTATGCTAGGAGGTTTTCAATTTTAATTACACATCTGAATACTCCAGTACTACACACAATCGAACAATTTAATTTTTTTTTCACAACAAATGTATCAAACTGGGAAACAGCACTAATCAAATGTACTATTTAGGAGACAACGAATATAGTGAGTAAGATACTCCTTTGATTTGTTTATATATAGTATTTCGGTTGATTCCAAATTTATCAATGGATTTCAATATTACAAATTCACTATACAGTATATAACAAACTCCAGTGAATTGCAGGTAATTACAGTTTGAAATGGACACTCAGAAAATAAGAAGACACACCTTACTTACAAATATCTATAATGTGATATGAGTGGGAACACAGAGTACGGGGGACTTCTGACGAGAAAAGTTTTTCTGCATGATTAGAACAGTTGAATAGCTTCTTTGTATTCGCAGAGTCTGATTTTCTAATCTCTGTTTTAGGTCAATCAAGGTTTTGAACAGAGACAATTTTCTTTCGGCTGGATATTTTCCCTGTAAAAGCCTCCGCTGCTCCATCCGGGATCTTTCCTCTTCTTTAGCTTCCCTGATTTTATTTTGCACTATTAACTTTTCTAGACGAAGTTGATTAATCTTTTCTTGGAGACTTTCTTTCACTTCCGGTAGTGTTCTTCCACTAGGGGTTGAGTCCATGAAACAGTTAAATTCTGTGGATGTTTCAGTAGCCTCTGTTGTTGAGAAATCTCTCCAGTAGGAATCTGTCATCCTTGACTCATTTTTTTCCTCCTCATCTGTGCTAAGCGTGCCATCTCGGGTTAAACTTGCGTACCCTGCGTCCAACGATTCTTGCATCATACTCATCTCATTTATTTGGCCAATATCAGTAAACTGGTAGGAACTTTCGCTTGAGTTTTCTGAATTATCTTCCAATGCTGTGGTGTTGAAATTCTTTTTTTCGTTACTCTGTCTGTTGCAGTCCGAATCATTTAGCAGATCCTCCATCGATACTTTTGTGAAGTCTCTTTCTGATATGCCCTGCTCTAAAATAAGGTCAAGGTCATTTTCATATTGCGCGTCGTAAGTAACATTGCCATTTTTCGAATCATTACTGTAACATTCACAGAATGCCTCACAGCTCCAATCAATTGATATGTCGCCTTCCGAAATGATTGACCAACGGTAACGAGTTTCGATATCCGTGCCTTTAGATCTCGTTTGTATCTCAGAAATTATTTCTAAATTATTTTGCAATGTTTCTTGTTTGCAAGTAGCTTTCAGTTCAGAAATATTTTGAGAAATAAGTCTTTCAAAGAAGCTGTATTCCGTTTGATCTCCGAATTCTTTGTTAACCGTAAACGTGTCGTCTGCTTTTGACTGACAAACACACAGCTCAGATGCTACTTCGGCAACCGGAAGTTGAATCCAAGGGTTCGTTCGGATTCGAGTCCTTTGTTTTAAACTATTGCATTTTTCTTTGTCTTCAAATGACAGTTTTTCTGGTTGTAATGAATCGAAATCAGAGTCCAATGTTTGCTGTGTTGCGTGTGTTTGATTTGCTCTAGAACGAAGGGTTTTAAAAAGACTATCCAAGTCTGAATCTATATCTATGAGGTTTGAAATACTGTTTTCCCGTGATTGTACTGAAAAATCGGCATGTTTTACATGGTCTGTAAAGTGTTTTGTATCCTTCAAATTGTCTTTATTCTTTTCAGATTTTCGTCTCCTTTTTGACTTCTGGAAGAAATTACTTGGAATAAGTTGTTTTATCTTCATAATTCGGTTCGATTTCGTCCTGTAACAAATAAAAACTCTTTCACAAAAACAATTATTATCCTATAGTCGTTGCATCACAGTACTGTTACTACTGTGTAACCTAGTTTTCTGTTGGAAACAGATTTTTTTCACTTTGTGACACATCCTGGTTTCTGTTTCTTTAAAAAGTTAATACTTAATTTTTCAGTATGAAAATTGAATTTTAACACCTTCTCTCTCTCTCTCTCTCTCTCTCTCTCACTCTCTCACACACACCCTCCCTCACACACACACCCTCACACACACACACACACACACACTTGTTATAGTTATATTCATTTCACATCCTTCCAGATGTTTCAGTAAATTAATGAATAAGTTAGATAAATTAACCTACCTCAGACCTTTCGGTTTATACCTCTTATACTCTTCCTATTTTGTTTTATGACGTTTAATAAACTGGGATAGTTTGAAGAGGACCTTTGAAGATACTATCTTCCCTGATTAAGAAATAATACCCGTGTGCTCTATTTTTCTTAGAAAAACACCCAAACTTATCCCTTCCAATTGTATTAACTCAATATGAGTGCGACATTAAATCGGAATGAATGTTTTTAAACAAACACCTTTTAATTTTGCCGCTAAGTAAACAACGTTCGCTGAAAATATCTTCTCATGAATTAAGTATAATTGCATTTAATAACATAATTGCAGAGATTATTTTGTCACATATGTCTAAGGTAAATTAAAAAGTTAATGAATGAAAGGAGAATCATTATGAAATATTCAATAACATGATCAGCTTTAGAAATTTTAACTCTGGTGGTTTTTCCAGCTTTAATAACAAAAATCATTATTTTTACATTTAATCTTTCGAGTGTCAATAATTGTTTTCCCTTGAAAGCATGTAGATGGCATTAATCAAACATAGACATTTGTGTACTTATCTAATTCTTTTAAAATTTTAATGAATAAAAGATAAACTGCTATTTAAAAGGTTTTATCCGTTCTATTTTTATCTTATATGTGTCTTTGATTTGATAAACAACGTGTAATTTAATTGTTTCTTTATAAAAGTAAAAAAAAATAAATAAATATATATATATATTTTTTTTAAATCCCCAACTCACATAAAAAGAATTTTACAACAAGAGGAATTAATTTATGACGTGATTTTACATTAACAAAAAAAATCTCTCTAAATTTAAAGATTTAATAACATAAATAAAAACTACAAAATTGTACTTTATCCGATGTTTTAAAGCTTGATTTCAATGGATAAAATTTGCTACCCTCTTAAAAAGAGTTGTGATTAAGAGTAATTAAGAGTAACTATTATTATAATTATTAATCGTTTAACAATAAAATTTATTTTGCGTTCAAAAAGTTTTGATGACCAAATCGCCATCAATGTTGAATTGTATAGGCGGGAAGCAAGAGTTAGTGTGCGTAGTTCTTTTGAATTTAGTAATAGTAAATACAAAATTTACATCATTTATACTGTCACTAGGTAAATTCCAAATTTACGACATGACAGATCTTATAACGTTTTCTCTTGCTTAAAAATTAATCGTAAGAGTTTTTGTGAAAAGGGGATGACAGATTTACGGTGATCTGACAAATCACTTAAATTTGTAAAGGCAGACAGATGTTTATCATTCGTGCATGATCAAGTAAAGTATTCCAACAACAAATTTAACATAAGAGCATCAATAACAGCTAGGATTCATAACTAAGACCAAACTAAATACGGTTTGAATTATGTCACCAAAATTATCAAAATCATAGCATTGGAATGTGTTTTGGAAGTTAGGGAATGCTTTTCTTTAATGGACCTGTAAGACGTCCCTTTTCAAATGTAGTTCAGCAACAGAATGTCCGTTTTTAGCTCTTTTAAAATCACTTTATAGCAATTTTCTTTTGCATTTGTACAAAGAAAATGTAAAATTTGTTTTATTTACTAATAAAATGCTTTAAAGATTAAAAATTGCTGTTAATTAGTCATAATATATATATATATATATATATATATATATATATATATATATATATATATATATATATATATATATATATATATATATATATATATATATATATATATATATATATATATAAGTCAAGAAATGTCAGACATTTTATTTCTTTTTTTTATTATTATTATTTTTTTTTTTTTTTTGGTAAAATATTATTTTTATTATTATGAATACATATTATTTTTAACCCTTTTAAACCTATGGATAAAATCTTCAATTTTAAGCTAGGGGTCCTTTGACTCCGTATATTTGAAAAGTTCAACTCCCAGGAGAATATTTGGTACTTTGAATTTACCTTCAAGAAAGACAGACAGACATGGAGATAATTAGACCTAACTCATACTGACAAACATAGAGACAATAGGACCTGTATCATAAGGACATAGTATCATACTGATAGACAGACATAGAGACAATAAGACCAGTATCATACTTACAGACAGACAGACATGGATTTATTAAGACCTGTATCATACTGATAGATAGACATAGAGACAATAAGACCTGCATGATACTGACAGACAGACAGATGTGGATTTAATAAGACCTGTATCATACTGACAGAATTGAAACATAAGACCTGTATCATAAAGACAGACATTGAGACAATAGGGCCTGTATCATACTGACAGACATGTAGACAATAAGACCTGTATCATAAAGACAGGCATTGAGACAATAGGGCCTGTATCATACTGACAGATATGTAGACAATAAGACCTGTATCATACTGACAGACAGACATGTAGACAATAAGACCTGTATCATACTGACAGACAGACATTGAGACAAAAAGACCTGTATCATACTGACTGATTGACAGACATATAGACAATAGGACCCGTTTCATACTGACAGACAGACAGACATGTAGACAATAAGATCTGTATCATACTGACAGACAGACATTGAAACAATAAGATCTGTATCATACTGACAGATAGACACTGAGACAATATAAGTCCTGTATCATACTGACTGATAGACAGACATATAGACAATAAGACTGTATCATACTGACAGACAGATAGACAGACATGTAGACAGTAAGACCTGTATCATACTGACAGACAGACTTATAAACAATAAGACCTGTATCATACTGACAGATATGTAGACAATAAGACCTGTATCATACTGACAGACAGACATAGAATCAATAGAACCTGTATCATACTGACTGATAGACAGACTTTTAGACAATAAGACCTGTATCATACTGAGAGACAGAAAGACAGACATGTAGACAGTAAGACCTGTATCATACTGACAGACAGACATTGAGACAATAAGACCTGTATCATACTGACAAACATTGAGACAATAAGACCTGTATCATACTGACTGGCAGACAGACATTTAGACAATAAGACCTGTAACAGTCTGACAGATATGTAGACAATAAGACCTGTATCATACTGACAAACATTGAGACAATAAGACCTGTATCATACTGACAGACAGACGTTGAGACAATAAGATCTGTATCACACTGACAGACAGACATAGAGACAAGAGACCTGTATCATACTGACAGGCAGACATTGAGACAATAAGACCTGTATCATACTGACTGGCAGACAGACATTTAGCAATAAGACCTGTATCATATTGACTGATAGACAGACATATAGACAATAAGACCTGTATCATACTGACAGACATATAGACAATACGACCTGTATCATTCTGACAGACATTGAGACAATAGGACATGTATCATACTGACAGACATTGAGACAATAAGACCTGTATCATACTGACAAACATTGAGACAATAAGACCTGTATCATACTGACTGGCAGACAGACATTTAGACAGTAAGACCTGTATTATACTGACAGATATGTAGACAATAAGACCTGTATCATACTGACAAACATTGAGACAATAGGGCCTGTATCATACTGACAGATATGTAGACAATAAGACCTGTATCATACTGACAGACAGACGTTGAGACAATAAGACCTGTATCATACTGACAGACAGACATAGAGACAATAAGACCTGTATCATACAGACTACTCAACTCTTACAGGATAATCTTCCTTCGGTCATTAACCTCCTCTGAGACATAGACAGAGGGATTGAGACTAGTACATACACACGCATTATTAGAGCAGCCTCCCACCCTAGAGGAGTGTACACAACTCAGATACTGTTATTTTTTAGATGTACAACACGCCTGTCCACTTGCTTTCTCGACAAGGAGACATGAAATACCTGCCATTTCTGTCATTTCAGTTCTTGGTGAGGCTGACACGTTCATTGAACTCCTTCATCCTCCTGTATAAAGATTTAAACAATAATCTAATTCTTGCACACTGCAGTGATGGAAAAGTCAATATTATAATGGTGCCATATGAGAGGCGTACATAATAAATGCTGACGATGTTGTTTAATCGACTTTCGTTCAAAGGGAAATTACTACTGTATTTGTAATGCAGAAGTGGGAAATTTACTATATTTATGTCCTCATTAAAACTCATGGAAACGAGAGTGATATTTTAAAAGAGCTCGAGGTTGGCTGAAATTTCGGATGCTCCCTCCATCAAGTCTAGATAGTAATACTATTCATAATACACCTTTCAAAAAAGTTACTTAGAGAGATTTGTCCCAAAAAAAAACCGGAGTAGCCCAAATCTATTTAAACAGAAAAAGGAAAATATTTGAAAAAATGGTGACAAAGCTTCTAGCTATTAACGCAACTCGACTTTTGTGTTATTGATTTTTTTTTTTTTTTTTTTTTTTGCCTAGAAAAGATTCTATCAAAACTTTCTACTAGACTGAAGCTAGCAGCCAATAACAGCAGCCATTAAGCCCGTAGAAGCTAGCAGCCAATAAGGAAATTCATCAAAGGACTGAGAGTACTCTGACGCAATACTGTTTAATGCCTCATTTTCGACAATTGATAATTTATAATTAGATAATTAATGCAACACTTAATTATTTAATAATTCAAACACTTTGAGGCAGTTAAGCTCACCTGCATGAGGAAAAT